GGGGGGAACACAAAGCCATTCCTGGGGTGCTGGGAAGAAGAAAAGCTGCTCATCAGGTCCTGCCCATCCCACAGTGCGTTCCCAGCGAGGAAATCAGCTTGGCTTGTACCCCCAAAGAGAGGATCACCAGCCAAGAGCTGTCCCAAACCATCCTGACCTCAACGCTGTGCCTGCCAGGAGCTGGAAATTGCCAGTGGCAGCCTGTGATCCTGCACGAGCTGAGCCTGGATGGACACAAATCCCTGGACACAAATCCCTGCCCCGAGCCAGGATAGCTCATCCGGAGGGAGAAGGAAAACACCTGGAGCAAAAGCTGCACCGTGCTGTGAAAGAGCATCACCAGAGCCCCAGCCTGCTCTCTGACACCAGGATCCATGAGTTTTCCAGGGGATAAAATCCCAGTTCCAGGGACAAATCCCAGTTCCCTCAGAGCTGGAAAAGCACCACCCAGGTGTGACCAGGGGACAGGAGGTGATGCCAGCAGGGAGTGGCGGCAGGTGGGAGGGAGCTCGAGGCCACCATGTCCCGTGCGGTGGGGACACTGACCCCGTCCCACGCGGAGCAGCTCCCGTGAGAGCCGAAAAAGAGGAATCGGAGGCACTGCCAGCTTTGCACAACTCTGTGTCGCAACAGCCCTGAGCTGAATCAGGGCTGAAAAAATGCTGATGTGCCGGTTCGTGGGGCTGCTGCGGGGAAAGGAGAAGCCCCAGAAAGCCCTGAGGGGTGAACAGGGCGGGATGTGCCAATCCCGCTCTGGAACCAGGCTGGGGACTCGTGACCGGCTCCCCGGGTCCCTCTCTGCCAGGACCCCCGGGCTGGGGTGGCAGCTCCGGGATGTTCCGCCCTTGTGGCACCTGCGGCAGTCCCCAGGTGCAGAGGGGGTGCCCCGGGGCAGTGGGAAACGCAGCCCAACATTGTAAAAACCACGAGAAACACGGAGTGGCACGGGCTGGATCTGCCCCATGGCTCTGCCACCACGTCCTGTCCCTTCTGCTCCCGCAGTGTCCCCCACCAAGTGACCTTTCCCGATACCTCGTGCGGTGCCAAGGCTGTCCCGCTGCTCCGCGCCGGGCAGGACGAGCTCGGCGTGCCCTGGCTGCCAGCGGGATCCCATTCCCAGGCGGATCCCGGCGTGCCCGGGACAGACACAGGCACGGTGCCGCTCCCCGCCGCTTTTAAGGGAGCGGGGAGGGAGTTGCATCCATCACCAAGGTTTTCTTGGCAGCGCGATGCTCGGAGAGCAACAGCTGGGAGAGGGTGTGACGCCGGGAGCTGGGAACGCTGGCCTGGATCACAACCCAGCGTGAGGAAGCAACAAGCTGCTTCCCGAGGGGCCTCCTTTCCTGTGCCGCCCCCCGGGCCGGAGCTCACCGTCCCACGGAGGGATAACGGAGCTCGGAGCGCTCCGCGGGGATGCTGCTCCAGCCGGGAGCCCGGGGGGAGGCAGGTGGCAGCCAGCCCCCCTCGCTGTGCTGTCCCCAGCCTGGGTCAGCCGCTGTCCTGTGCTCCCCCCACCGCCCCCAACTCCTTCCAAGACGTTGAGTCACTTCCCTTCAGGCAAAATCTGGCTCCCAAACGCCGCTCCTGCTGCTCAGGGGCTGCTTTTCCCGATGGATTTCATTACCACCAGGATGCTGCAGCTGCTTCCAGGCAGCCCCCTCAGCCCGCAGAGGCTCTGTGGTGGCAGCTCTGTCACCCAGCCCCTTTAACACCTGCAAGAAAAGTTCTTTGGGGACCACAGAGGGGCTGGGAGAGTCTCCAGGGTCTCAGGGATGGGAAAGGCTGGATGCAGGGATGGGGTTCAGGGTGACATACAAGAGGTTTTTGGGGCAGCCCCCCAGATTGGGAGCACTGAGCAGCGCAGCCCCACCCACACAGAGCAGGAGGTTTGGATAACCCCGGGCTTGATGTGGCACCGGGAAAATTCCTTCCCTCCCCACGCAGCTCCCGCGCTCCCAAGCCTCAGGCATCCCAGTCCCAGCATCCATCCAGTCCCAGCATCCATCCCAGTCCCAGCATCCATCCCAGTCCCAGCATCCATCCCAGTCCCAGCATCCATCCCAGTCCCAGCATCCATCCCAGTCCCAGCATCCATCCCAGTCCCAGCATCCATCCCAGTCCCAGCATCCATCCCAGTCCCAGCATCCATCCCAGTCCCAGCAGCCATCCCAGTCCCAGCAGCCATCCCAGCAGGATAAGAGCCAGTGCAGGGGTTTGGGAGCAAAGGCAGCACAAGGAAACACAAGAAAATTTGGCAGTGATGCCCCCTCAGCCTCCTCCAGCCTGGATTTGCCCCACTGGGACACCCCAGCTCAAGCAACACTGCCCTGAGTTTGTCACCAGCCATTCCAACCCTCTCCCCAGCAGAAAGGAAGTTGGTCTACCACAGGATACTAATTAAGGCTAATTAATTACCCTCAGCTGTAAAGACAGAGCAAAAAACGTCCTGAATCCAGCCAGTAAGGGACAAAACCAGCCACAAACTGATGGGGTTTCCTTTTGTGCGTCCGGAGTCCAGCGGTGCCACCAAGAGATGCTCAGCCCAGGCAGCTCCTGCTGGCACCAGCTGGGACCTGGTGGGGATCTTTGGGCTTCCCAAAACCACCCCAGGGCCTGCTGGGGCTGGGGATGCTCGGCCATGGATGCTCCTGCACGTGGCCTTGCCAAGGGCTGACCTCAGGACATCGAGCAGTGACCGAAATCCAGCAGCTCCGGGGGGTGCAGAGCCCAGACCTGGCACAATCCCAGCGTTCCCAGCACTCCGAGCTCTGCAGCCCCACAGAACCAACCCATCCCTTGGCCCTGCCTCCTTTCCCAGGCACCTGCCGCTTCCCCACGCCCGGCAGGATGCGGGATGCTGCTCTCACACCGATCCCTGCCTTTAGCAAGGGAAACACTGACTCGGGATGTCGTTTGTGGGTTGGGGTTTCCCTCCGGGGCTCTCGGCACCGCCTGCTCAGCAAAGCCCTGCGGAAGGACAAATCCCTGTTCCCAGGGCTGGTGACGGAGCAGGATCCGCGCGGGAGCAGCCGTCGGGAGCGGCAATTCCAGGCAATTCCAGGCGCCGCAGCCCGAGCAGCCTCTGGCAGTTGTCGTGTCCTTGGCAAGCGCCGAGTGCCACCCACACCGAGCAGAGCAATTAAAGCTCTAAATTGATTCGGGCTGATTAAACGCCCTGGAGCAGCTCCCTGCCGGGCCGGGATGCGCGGGTGGGGCCGGGATGCGCGGATGGGGCCGGGATGCGCGGATCGGGATGCGCGGATCGAGCCGGGATACCACGGCCGGAGCCCGGCAGGTCCGACCCCTCCGGTCCTCGCCCTCCTTCCCTCCCACACAGGCGCTGGGAACCCGCCTGACTCATCCCGAAACAGATGCGGCAGTCAATGGGGAAGAATTCGGAGGAAGTTTGGAAGTTTTCTCTCTCCGGGGGAGCTTTCTCCGGCATCCAGCAGCACTTTCCCTCGCCCCGGGCGGAGCCGTGGGGATCAATGGGAACGGCTGGAAAAGGAGCTGGGCTCAGCTACCAGGACAAGAGAGGAGCTCCCACTGCAGATCCCAGCTCCAAAAGCCGGGTTTTAGAGCTGGGTTTATCCCAGGGATAACTCTGCCCTGCCTTTCCCCCAGGGAGCTCATCCCTGGCTCCACACCCGCTGCGGTCCCGAGCTCCGGATCCCGTCACTGCCTCCCGATCCCAGCGCAAACTCCCTGCACAAATAAAGAAGCCACAGACAGGATGTTCAGGAGACGGCTCCCGTTCCCTTTTTTTCGCTGATTTGATACAACCACGGAAAAAAAAATAACAAAAAAAAACAAAACAAAACAAAACAAAAAAAACCCAATCCCAGCCCCAACCTTGTGCAACTCGAGCTTATAAATAGCCCCAGAAGCTCAGCGGGGCTGGGACGGGGTGGCCAAAGCCCGCTGTGCTCCTCAGGCTGGCTCCTTGTCCTGCTGCATCCCACCCCTGGGACGGGCAGGTCAGGCATCCCCACCCGGTTCAGCCCCCAGACACCCTCCCAGAGCCTCTCTTTGCCCCCAGTCTGGCATCATTCCCCCCATTTTCCCACGTGCTTCCCTCGGGGCTGGATCTGAGCCCGCGGGCCAGGGGAGGATTCCGAGTGCTCGGCTCCCAAACCCCACCCTTGGCAGAGGAGGAGTGATGGGAGCATTCCCGGGGCACAGCTGGGCCCTGTTCCATGGATTCCCCCATCTGTGGCATCACCCACCCGCTCCCACCCCCATCCTGCTCCCCAGGAGTGATGGAAGTGCCACATCAGGAGATTTATCCACGATTTCCAGCTCCTGCTGCAGCTGTCACGGGCCACTGACAGCTCCTGGAGCAGGGATGAGGAATTGCCAGGCATGGACACTTTGTTGTTGCCTGGACAGACAGGATGTCACCTGTCACCTGCCCAGGGATTTATGAGCAGAGGTGGCATTAAATCCTGGAATGGTTTGGTTTGGAAAAACCTAAAACCCATCCCATTCCATTACCTGCCATGGACTTGAACACCTTCCACAGACCAGGCTCCTCCAAGTCCCATCCAACCTGGCCTTGGAATAAGAAATTCCATTTAAAAAATAAGAAATTCAATTAAAAATTAAGAAATTCAATTAAAAATTAAGGAATTCCATTCAAATGCCTACAGGGCTCCAGGACTCCCACTGGAAAATGGGAGCTGCTGACAGGTTTCAATTCCTTCAATTCCTTCAATTCCTTTCAGCTCGTGCTGGGAGCTGCTGGAGCTGAATTCAGGCTCATCTTTCACCCTGAACTCCTCCAGCATCATCCAAAAATCCTCTGGATGTGCTTTTCGTGCTGCTGAGTGAAGACACCAAACATGGACAGAGGGGAGTATTCCTGAAATCTCCCAGCAAACAAATCAGTGGGATCTGCTTGATGAAACCCCTCAGGAAACTCCCAACCCTTTAAGGCACCAATTGGATTTGTCTTAATAACAGTGACTTAATAACAACAGATTCCTTCAAATTCCCAAACATCCATAAGGAAACCTGCTTTATTTCTTATTTTTTAATTAATAAACCCAGTTTTCCTTGCCACCAACATCTGGGAGCTCACCATTCCACGGAGCAGAGCTTTGCAGGGACAAGGGATTTCGAAGTTGCCTTTGCCCATGGCCCCATCCTGCTCCCCACCCAGGGAGAGCCCAGCTCTGGGCTGGGAAGCAGCTCCTTGTGCAAGGTTCAGCATTCCTGCCAGCTCTGAGCAATCCATGCCTTTTTCGGGTTCTTTTTGGCTGGGAGTGGCCTTGGTGCAGGTTCACTGGGCGCCAATTTCCCTGGAATTTGTAAAAATAACATGAAAATATGATTTATTCCTGAGCCTTTGCCAGGCTGGGATTATTTCTGAAATGAGGGAGCACTCAGTGGTGCCAGGGAGATGTGGGGGCACCTGTGCCCTCATTGGGGTTCCCCACAGCATCTTCCTTGGATGGATCTGGATCCAAATATCCACTGATCCCAATATCCAGAGCTCAGCCCGGTGCTGGATACATTTCCCACACAGGAGCCAGGTCCCAAAACCCAGCTGTCACCTCAGAATTATTTAAATAGACCCAGAAATGCAGGATCCATCCAGAGGGTGCTGATGGTGGAAGCCAGATCCACTGACACCCATGAATTCCTGATTTTTATTCCCCAAGCAGTGCACAGGGAATCCCTGTTTTCCATGGCCTGGAGTGGGTGCAGAAAGTTCCTGGCTGATGGAGAATGGAGCTCACACCCAGCTGCTCCCAGAAGGACTCAGACCTTGGGAATACCTTATAAATCAATAGGGCTAAATTGAAAATTCAGGCAGGACTTCACACAACTCACTCACTCTCCCTGAAGAATTCTGGGGGAAAAAACAGGTTGGGAAAAGGGAACTTGGGGCACCCTGGCTGGATGTGGGTTCCCTGGCTGGGGAGAGGATGTCCAAGGAATTAATTCTGTGTGGAGATCATTGGAATGTCAGGGCACCTCTGATTTATCCCCGGCCTTCAAGTGCAGGAATTAATTCTGGCCATGGAATTCCGGCCACTTCCAACGCCAGCAAAAGCTGCCTTCAAGGAGCCATAATCCCCAAGGGAATTAAAACTAAAAACTAATTAAAACTAAAGCATTTCCCTGGATATCCCACCTGGAATGTGGGGTATCCCTCACCCTGGCATCTTCCCAAGCCAGCAAATCCCTGGCACTGCTGGTGAGGAGCTCCTGCAAAACAATTCCCCTGTGGAAAACAGGGAGCTAATGGGATTTAGGGGATGAGGAATGAGAGGCTGGATGTAAGCAGACCCAATTAGTGGATGGGTCAATTAAGAGAGAGGTGATGGGATATTGGAGATCCCAAATCCCTCCTTGCTCTGAGGACTCCACGTGCTCGTCACCCATCGTTGCTCCTGGAAAATCCCACCATGAAGGATTTAAACGAGTCATTTATCAATTAAATGTGCGCTCTGGCAAATTAAAATCTGTCCTCTTGTTTAATTAATAGGGCAGCTTTATATTCGACAAATTAGGGAGTCTCTTGATGAGCTAATTTGTTAATTAATGGAAGCCTGGAGGCTCTGCCTTCATTAGACGTTGGCACATCCAAAGTGCAGCTCCTCCTTCAGGAGCCCTGGCAATGGATTTGCCATGGGAGAGCTCTTGGCATGGCTCCTGGCATTCCTGGGATTTATGGCAGCAGTGCATTCCCCTTCCCTTCCCCTTCCTTTGGGAAAATTTACATCCCTTGCCAAGGAAAAGAGCAAGATCCTGAGGCCAAAGGGAACCCAGAGCTGCTCCAGGATGGAAAGAGGGAAAGAAATTTTGGATTTTCTTTCCAAAAAAGATAAAAAATGGGGGAAAAAGCTTCTGGGCCCATCCAGGGATCTGTGCTGGGAGGGAATCAGGGCTGTGGGTGGAGGATCCAGAGCTCATCCCAGCGGATCCAAGGATTCCTGGGTGTCTCCAGCACCCAGAACACTCCCGCAGGGAAAATGAATCCCCCAGGGATATCCAGCTCATGGATCAGCCCTTGCCCCATCCCAGCTGGCCACAGCCACCCCTCCCAGTGCTTCCAGTACAAACCAGTGCCAGGATGGTGCTGAGGCCGGGTGGGCTCCATGAGCTGCTCCAAAGGATGCCAGGGAAAGAGGGATCCCAGCAATGCCAGGACAGGATCCCTGAAGGAGTGCTGGACCAGCAACCCCAGTAAGAGCTGGACCAGTAACCCCAGTAAGAGCAGGGTGCTGGGGCACACCCACACTGCCCTGGGATAAGATCCTGCTGCAAATCCACGTTAAAAACCAGGAATGTGGATTCCTGAGGTGGCACCAAGGAGCATTCCCCTCCAGTCCAGCCTGTCCCAGGTCCCATGGAGCAGCTCCCTCGTTTATTTTTATCCTCCAGTGCCTGCTGCACTCACCAGTTATCAAATAAATATGGGAAACCAGGAGAGGCACCCAGAGACTCCCTTATCTCAGTTTTCCATGGACTGGCAGTTCCTGGGATGTGTTTGCTCTCAGACTTTAAAAAGCAACAGCAGGTTCACTTTCTGCCACTGGAGTTTGCCAAGTTTCCAGCTTTCCCTGGATCTCATCCCACCCAGGGAGGTCCTGGAGAGAGGGCACAGCTCACTCAGACCCCAAAGGTGCAATAAAAATCACAGTGAAAGGCAAATTCCTGATGGATTTTCCACAAACACTTGGCCAAAAAAAAAAAAAAAAAAAAAAAAAAGTTGCTGTCAAAGCTGCCCTTATTTGGGTGCCTTTTCCAGAAGTTGTGCTCTGGATCCTGATCCATTCTCCAGGAATGTCGGGGAACTCAGGCACAGGGGACTCAGCTGATGCTGGGACACATCCCCAGTTCCTGCTGGAATGTGACCCTCAGGCACTTCTCCCAAGGCTGATCATCTCCCACTCCTGCCCTGTGCACCCACAGCCTCCCTGCTGCCACCCTGAACCTTCCCACCCTCTGCTCTGATTCCCAACACTTGGTGTTCCAATCCTTCAGCAAAATCTCAATTTCAACACCTCCAAGAGTCTCTCTGCCCTCCCCACAAGAAAAGGCAATTCCAGAGCTGTGTCTTTATTCCATTCCAGGTTGTGCTGGAAGAGAGAGAACCAGATGCTTTTTCCTGTGCTTTTCCTGATGTATTTCTCCTTCCACAGCCTAACACACCTAAAAAGAGGGGTCAAAACCCCCTTGGAATAATGTTTACAAGCTAATTAGGCAGAGAATTGATTTGAACATCACTGGGATACCAGAAAAATGCCAGCTGAGCTGGGAAGGCTTGGGCTGGTTTTCCATGGAAATTGAAATTGCCACAGGCTGCTGGAGCCATTCCCTGGGAGGTCTGAGCCCCCTCCCACCCCAGCAGCCTCCTGGAATCACTTGGTTTATCTCCAATTTGTAAAAGAGGTGAAGGAAAGGGAATTTTCCTTCCCAACAGGAGAATAGGATTTGAATTCCTGTGCCATGGGAACAGGGAGAAATCCAAAACATGCTGGAAAGAAACACCCATTCCTTTTGATTCCTCTTCAGCAGCACTGCCTTGCCCACATCCCAGCCAAAATTCCAGTTCCTATATCCCAACAGATTTCCCACCAAGGGAGCACAACATGGAATTGCTTCTCCTTCCATTCCTCACTTTGCTCCTTCCTGCATTGCCAGACCCCAGCCCTGCACTGCCAAGGCTCCCCGAGCAGGGCTGGAGGCACCTCTGGAGGCCCTGCAGTCTCTCCTGATTTATCCGGGCATTTTCCCAGTTATCCAGCAGCCAGCAGCTGAGTTTGGAGCACTGCTCCCCTGTCTCTCAGGAATTACGGACCTACCCAGCCAAGGCACAGGGAAAGAATTGTTTGTTTGCTGCTCAGACCCCTGAAATTCCAGGAGAAAATGAGATTTCTCTTGCTTGCTTTAGATCCTGGGGTTTTCCACCCCTCTGCTGGGTTTATTTCCAAATTCCCACTGCTCCTGTTCAGCTGCCAAACGCCAGCAGGGAGCTGCCAGTGGCATTCCTTTTGGGAAGGGACAGGGAGCCTGGCACTGCCCCCTCCCAGAGCCCAGCGAGGTTCACACCCAGCTCCTGCTCCAGCTCAGCCTCTTCCTGTGGAAAGCAAAGCCCAGCTGGGGGAATTTAACATTCCAGCTCCAAAGGAATTAAACCCAGCCTTAAAAAGGGAAATATTTCCCAACTCTGAGTTTTTGCAGAGTGCTGGAGGCACCTGATAAGCACAGAGTTCCACAAACAGGGGCTGCTCCCTGCTGACAGGGGGAGAGGGGAGCTTTTAGCTTAGAGGAATTTCACAGGATCCATTTTATCCAGCAGCATGCAGGAAAATGAACACAGCACCCTGCAAAGCTGGGAATGACACAGGCTCTGGCTCCTTGATTCCAAGGGGGCTCTCTGAGCTCTGCTGAACAGCACAGGTTTGAAATCCATTCCTTCCATTTGCAAACCCATTTCTTCCATTTGCAAACCCATTTCTTCCATTTGCAAACCCATTTCTTCTCCCAAATCCTGCCCAGTTCCTGAGTGGACATGTTGAGGAAAGAGTGGTGCAGAATTCCACGGCCAGATTTCCTCAGTCTCAGCAACCACAGAGGGGATTTATGATTCCTAAAGGATCACCCACCTGCTCTGGTTCCCATTTATCACAATCAGCACATCTCAAGAGCCATTTCCATATCCCAGGCTCTGGGAGCCTTTGGAAACTTGGATCCAGGGAGAAGCAAAATGTGAGTGGCAGGTGGCTCCTGAGGCCTCTGCTCCAGAGCTCCTGTTTCTCTTCCTGGGATTTAAAACCTTAAATAGCTCTTGGATTTCAGGAATATTCCTGTTTGCAAATCCTGCCCGGGGCACCCTGCTTGAGCGGAGCCCCTCCCTGGTAGCTCACACTGCCTGAAATGTTGGGATTGAGCCCGGGATCAGGAGAGGAGAGCTCCAGCAGCTGCCCAGCACCTCTGCCAGGACACAGCTGTGTCCCCAGCATCCCTGCACTGCCGTTGCCATGGTGACCGAGCATCATCCCCTCTCCTGCCACCTTTAAGGGGAAATGTCCCTCCAGGGCACAGGGCTGTCCCCAGAGCGCTCCCGGGTGGCCCCAGCCCCATCCTGCACCCAGGAATGCCCCAGGGCAGGAATGCTGCCCACGGGGAATTTCCTGCTGGCTCCAGCCTGGAGCTGACCACCACCAAGGAAAAAAAAATCCAGGAGGATTCACACCTGAACAGGGGAGGTTTGAAGTGAAATCCAAGCTGGGAAGAGCTTGAGGCTGTCCAAGGCCAGCAGAGGATCCCTGAGCAACAACTGTTCAATCCAGAATGGGCTCTAAATGTGTTGAAATGCTAAGGCAAATGAACACCTCAAAAATCCAACCAGCCTGCTCCTCTTTCCTAAGGACATCCTTTGAGGGCTGGACAAGGTGGTCACAAAGACAAGGACACCTCAGGAGCAGAATAAGGAAGGATCTAACTGGGATATTAGGGACAAGGTTGGGAGTTTGAAGTGGAATTGATTCAGAAATACTGATGAACAAGCTGGCCACTGCAGCAGGTGACCTGGCAAAATGGAAGCAGCCTTTACAGTCATCTCTACTGGCAGATTTCAAAAGGGAGCTGACCACCACCAAGGAAAAAAAAATCCAGGAGGATCCAGGACAGGGTGGGGTTTGAAGTGAAATCCAAGCAGGGAAGAGCTGGAGGCCGTGCAAGACCAGCAGAGGATCCTTGGGCACAGAAAATCGTGGGGCCAGCGCTGTCCCCGTGGCTGGGGGCACTGGCAGCCCCAGGGAAGCCACAGGCAGAGCCACCCCTGCTCCTGTGCCCTCCCAGGTCTCCCCTGGCACCTGCTGAGCTCTGACAGCTCTCAGGACCCAAGCAGGGGGAGAGCTGAGGAGTTAAAGTGAAAATATCTCCTTTTGCAATCTGCTCGCACTGCGCCCCCACCCTCCTGCCTGTTTTGACCCTGCTTGTCCCGCCCCGGAGCCCTGGAGGTGGGAAATGGGGGGAATTGTGGCTGTGTCACGTTCAAGGGAGTGACACGGGGTGATGTCCCCTCTGCGTGTGGCAGGAGAGGTGCCCACCCCCATCCCACTGCTCCTCTGGCACCCCAGGGATGGTCTGGGTGGGAGGGGACCTTGCAGGTTGTTGGGAAGGATGAAAGTTGGACAAGAAAGTCTCACAGATGTGGAAGCTTGGCAGAAGGATTTTTGAATATAGAATCTGAAGAAGGAATAGAGATGGAAGCAAGTTTTGATATAGAATAAAAGAATTGCTGAGCCAGTCATACTGGATAACAGAGGAGGCAAAGGGGGGGATTTTATGACTTAGAGCAAAGGATAAACCCACCTCAAACAAGAAGATTTTTTTACCAAGCAGAAAAATAGCACAGGCAAACAAGTCAGCAGATGCTGCAAGTAGAAAAAAGGTCTCAGAATTTTCCACTGCAAGAAAGGTTAAAAACAACTTCTAGCTTGAACTGTAATGCACTAACCTTTAGTGATTGGAGAACAGTGACATGAATGTGGTAATTGTAGTGGTTATGAGAGGCTACAGGTAAAGGTTAAGGTGTAGATTGGTTCTGCTGGATTAAGATGCTCAGCAAAGAAGTATATAATGCATTTGTAACCTAAACTCAGGGTCTCTAGGCAGCTGCAGCTGCCAGCTGTGGGCACAGGCTGTGCCACCCACGACCTGGGCTGCTGTGACACCTCGGGGACCACAAACTGCGTTTGGGAGAGCTGCCTGGGGTCCCCCATCCCTGATCGCCCCAGGGCACCTCCCCTGCCCCGGGCTGCCCAGCCCGGCCTGGGAGAGGCAGCTCTGATGCCTCGGGCTGGTCACATCCCCAGGGGGTGCCAGGGAGGATTATCCCAAGGATCAGCTCACTGGGCAAGCCTTGGGAAGCACCAGCTTGGTACAGCCAGGCCCCCAGGAACCTCTGAAATCCCAGGGAATTTCACCCCAGCACAAACAGCTCCAGAAGGCAGCCAGGGCCTTGCTCAGCCTCCAGGTGTGTTTTCCAGGATGGATCCGCGGGCAGAAACGGGCAGGTCCTGGCAGGGGAAGGCAGGGGCCGGGATGTTTCCATGGAGCAGAGATCAGCCAGTGCCCTCTGCCGGCTGCGGCCAGCCCGCCGCTCCCAAACCCATCCAGGGACGGGAACAAACCCCAGCCTGGCGCTGAAGCTTCCAGGATCCCTCTGGAACGCTGCTCCGAGAGCAAATTCCCCTGAGGATCGCGGTGGGATCTGTTTGGCACAGCTGCATGGAGAATTCCCAGCAGGACCGGGAGCTCTGACCCACCCAGGCTGCAGCTCCAGCATTCCACAGCTTCCCTCCCACCTTTGGGGTGGCCCCTTGCTGCTCCTGGCAGAGTCACACACGGAGATCCTCCGCAGGGGCCCCGGGGGTGCCGTGGCACCGTCGGCTTTGCCTTGGGGCCATGCCCAGGGCACCGGGAGGCTCCAGAGCTGGCACGGACTGCGGGCACTGCGGGCTGCCCCACTCTGCTGGAGTGGATTTAATGGGGAGTGGATCCTGAGCGTGTTCCTCACCATTTCTAAAAGGAAAACTCATCCTCAATTATCCCAGAATCAGCTTGAGGTGCCAGATCCCCGAGGAAAACCCAGGTTTGTGTTGAAGGTTCCTCACAGAGATTATCTGGTCCTTCCAGTGCTGGTTACCCC